GTGATATTGAATGGTTTGCCTTGGAAACGAACAGAGATCATTCTGTCGTTTTTGAGATTGCATCCAAGTACTGCATTTCGGACTCTTTTGTTGACTATGATGGCTACTCCATTTCTTCTAAGGGATTCCTGCCCACAGTAGTAGATATAATGGTCATCTGAGTTAAATTCACCCATTCCAGTCCACTTTAGTTTGCTGATTTCTAGAATGTCGACGTTCACTCTTGCCATCTCCTGTTTGACCACACCCAATTTGCCTTGATTCATGGACCTAACATTCCAGGTTCCTATATTGCTCTTTACAGCATCGGACCTTGCTTCTATCACCACACAGGCACAAAACTATTACAATCCTGGATGGAGTCATAGGTGGAAACCTCTTTACTTTTGCCACATAAGGTAACTTAATTAAGACAGTGACATCCCATCACAGTCACAAGGCCCCTCCCACACGCAAGGGGAGGGGACCATACAGGCCTGTGTAGAAGGGAGCACAATTTTGGGGCCACGTTAGACTCCTTAGATTTCCATTTGCTTTTTACTCTTCTTTTCCAAAATTGTTTTGGCTATTTTAAGTCCTTTGCTTTTTCACTTAATTTTTCAGAACCTCAGCTTGTGAATTCATACAAAAACACTGTCCTCAAATTCTGACTAGAACTGTACTGAATCAATATATTCAATATGAAGAGAAATGATGACATCTTAACTGTAATGAGTCTTTTAACCTACAAGCACAATGATGTCTCCATTTATTAAGATTTTTAATTTCTCACTGCTTGCAGTTCTGGGTGTACAGCTCTTGCTCATATTTTGTTAAATCTATCATGAAGCATTTCGTGTTTTTTCTGCTATTGTAGATATCTTTAAACTTCTTTTTACATTCTTTGTTGGTGGCATATTAAGACCACAAATGATTTTTGTGTACTGACATAGTATCCTGTGTCTGTTCAAAATTCACTTAGCAATTTGAATAATTATGTTATAAATTATTTTCAGTTTTTATATGAACATGATCTGCAAATGACAGATTTTTCTTCTTTCTTTGTAATTTGTATGCCATTTTACTTCTTTTTCTTTTCTTATTGTACAATGTTGACTAGAAGTGATGAAGACTGAGCATCTTTGCCTTCTTCTCTACTTAGGGAAAGTGTTCAGTTTTTCAACATTTCAGTTTGATATTAACTGCAGGTATTTCTTAAGTGTCTTTTATGAAATTGAGGAAAATCTCTTCTATTCCTAATTTATGCATGTAATGGATGAGTGATTAATTTTTTCAGATAACTTTGCTGCATATTTT